AACTGGAGAAGAACGAGGCCGCTCTCCCAAGTCGGTCAGCAGGTAGGTGAGCCAGCGTAACTCCTATGCAGCCATGGCCCCAGCGTAGATCTCAGCCTCACAACTGGAACTGAGAACAGAAGACGAGCGGGTAGACCACCAAGAAACAGAGCCGGAGCCAAGGCTGAAAGTGTAACCCTGTGACGACCGCTGCGTAGCCAAGTCGTCAACCCAAGAAGCGTCTGCGTGTCCAGTGAGGACAACTGGGCCCCGTGCTCCAAGCACGAGCTCCATGCCCGATGTACTGCACAAGTAGCGCAACACTCTCTTAGCGGCCTCCCAGTGCTCTGGTCGGTGTCTCCCGGGCACAACATAGCGTGCCAGGATGCTAAGAGGGTAGGCAAGGTCAGGTCGAGTGCAGGTCATCAGGTATATGAGGCAGCCCACAAGCTCTGGATACGAGCCACTCGGCTCTACGGACTCGTCCGAAGGTGGAGCTGAGAGCGACTGACCGGTAGGCAGAGGAGTACCGGAAGCCGAAGCGCTGAAGGACCTGGTGCACCATGTGTGACTAATTCAGGGTGATGGTGCGCCGTGCTCTGTCCCGGGTGATCTGCAAGCCAAGATAGATGCGCAGCTCACCCAGGTCAGTGCAGGTGTGTCTCTTCTGCAGCTCCGAGTTCACGTGACAACCTCGTCAACGTAGGTGCCTCTGGACTTCCAGGATTCCATCTCAGCGTCCATGGCTGTCTGCCACTTAGAGGAGTAGGGACCTGTAATCGCCTCTGCGTAAGAGCGCGGGGTCGGGATGTCTGGTGCATCCGGGTCTCCCTCAGGTGCAAACAACATGGCTACAAGATGAGGTACAGCAGCTGCAAGACACTCAAAGTCCTCCTGCCTGTCCTCAAGGACGTCCGTGCCAAGAGCACACTCACCCCCGACGGACGGAGGACATTCAGACTCAGACTCAGCAACAAGACTAGCGGCGTAGTCGAGACAACAGGCGGCAACAAATTCAACAAGCTCAGCAACTAGGGCAGACGCAGCAGCGGACTCAAACGAAGGGTCGGTGACAACAGTGGTTAGAAGACGTGGCACAGTAGGACTGGCAGCACGAACTAAGTCAGAATCAGGGTCCGGAAAATCACCAAGAGAGGACGCAGGAGGAGACGGCAAGGGAACTCGCAGTGGAATAGAGGAAGGACGAAGTGCCATAATGTGAGTGCCGGGGAGAGGAGGAGGACGCGGACAAGGAACACGATGACCAGTGCGAACAGCGCAAACAGGCGAGGCAGGACGAGACTCAGGCTCACGTCGCTCTGTAAGAGAGTCTGTCTGCTCACCGTAAGAAGGAGCAGTCAGTGGGGAGTCTGGCTGTAATTGTGGCTGTGACTGGTGAGGCGGTGGACACAGCAAGCTAGGAGTAAGGCCAGTAGAAGATGGGAGACTAAGAACCTGGCGAAGGACCGAGTCAGGTGGCGGCAGAGACGACGGCGGAGGTGGAACGAAAATTGGTCGCCGCTGCACAGTGCCTCCAGCAGCAGTACGGCCAGCTCCAGCACCCCCAACGCCAGCACCTCCAGCTTTAGGGTCTCCAGCTCCAGGGTCTCCAGCTCCAGCGCCTCCAGCTCCAGGGTCTCCAGCTCTAGTGCCTCCAGCTTCAGCGCCTCCAGTGCCAGCGCCTCCAGCTCTAGGGTCTCCAGCTCTAGTGCCTCTAGCTCCAGCACCTCCAGCGCCAGCGCCTCCAGCTCCAGAGCGTCCAGCTCCATTGCCTCCAGCGCCAGGGTCTCCAGCTCTAGCTCCTCCAGCTCCAGCGCCTCCAGCACCAGTGCCTCCAGCTCAAGGGTCTCCAGCGCCAGGGCCTCCAGCTCTAGGGTCTCCAGCTCCAGTGCCTCCAACACCACCAGCTCCGGCAGCTCCGGTACCTCTAGTACGAGCACCTCCAGGACCAGCAGCTCCAGCACCTCCGGTTCCTCCTGCTCCCGCAGTAACTCCAGCACCTCCAGGAGTAGTAGCTCCAGCACCTCCAGCTCCAGTGCCTCCAGCGGCAGAGCCTCCAGCTCCAGGGTCTCTAGCTCCAGCTCCTCCATCTCCAGCACCTCCAGTGCCAGTGCCTCCAGCTCCAGCAGTAACTCCAGCACCTCCAGGACTAGTAGCTCTAGTTCCTTCAGCTCCAGTGCCTCCAGCGGCAGGGCCTCAAGCTCCTGCAGCGCCACTCCTAAGGCGTGTGCGCTGAGCAAACCACTCGCGCAGCTGCTGCGGGGAGAGAGGCTCCCGCCAGTGAGACAATCGTGGTGAGGCACCCGCAGGACCTCTGGCAGACGCAGTACCCCTAGGCTCAGCACCCCCAGACTCCGCACCCTCAAACACAGCACCCCCAGGCTCCGCACCCTCAGGCTCAGCAACCCCAGGCTCCGCACCCCCAGGCTTCGCACCCTCTGGCTCAGCACCCCCAGGCTCCGCACTCGCAGGCTCAGCACCCCCAGACGCAGCACCCCTAGTAGCACCTGAGTCTACATTGACCTCGACAGTCTCAGCCAGGGAGAGTGGGTCTACCTGAGGCACACCTGAGGGAGCAGGACCCTAAGGGGGGAGGGGGTCTACCGGAGGGGGACCTGGAGCGAGGAAGAGCGGCGGGGGTGGCACGGGCAGCAGGGTGGCGAGCGGGCAGCAGGGCGACGCGTGGGCAGGGCGGCGGCCAGCAGGGCTGCGCGCAGCAGGGCGGGCAGCAGCAGGGCGGCGCGGGCAGCAAGGCGGCGCGCGGGCAGGGCAGGGCGACGCGCAGGCAGGGCAGGGCGGCGCGGTTACCAGTAGTGCGGTGCGCGGGCAGGGCATGGCGACGCGTAGGCAGAGCAGGGCAGCGCGGCGGCCAGCAGGGATGCGCGCGGGCAGGGCAGGGCGACGCGACAGGCAGGGGAGGTCGGCGCGCGACCAGCAGGGCGGCGCGACGGGCAGGGCAGGGCAGCGCGCGGCCAGCAGGGCGGTGCGACAGGCAGGGCAGGGCGGCGCGTGACTGGCAGGGCGGCGCGACAGACAGGGCAGGGCGGTGCGCGACTGGGAGGGCGGCGCGCGACTGGCAAGGCGGCACGACAGGCAGGGCAGGGCAGGGCAGGGCAGGGCAGGGCAGGGCAGGGCAGGGCAGGGCAGCGCGTCTAGTGGGGCAACGCTACGAGAAGGGAACTATGCGGTGGGCCCTAAAAAAAACGGCCCTGGAACAGGACCTGCTCTGAAACCATGTTAGAATACTGAACGAGTATGAACGCATCGAGTAGAAAGTTGGTACAAGTACTGACCCTAATTGGGTTGTACCCTTTATAGGCTACCCCACTACAGCCTACACAATTTAGGCAGTATAATATTTTGACAAATAGATCATCATCCTGAGCCTTAGTCATTGAAACGATCCTAAGGGCTTTCTCAACCCAATACTTTGCACCATAAGGTATAGCGTATGGTTTGCACTTTGCTCTAAAAGTCGGGGCATAAGATTTTGGCGGATGTATGGTGTACACAAGCCCTTACTGATAAATACAGTAAATCTCAGGTGAATGCTGTATGGTGTAATGAAGCGGCTTAGAAAATCTCCCAGTCGCACATATTACTACACGTCAGAGCCCTTCACATCCACGTCCATTCATGTCATCACTGGAACCCGTCCCACGCGAACATCCAGTTTCTCTGGCCTTCCTATAACTACTGTAGGCGCTGATTGAGGATCTGGCGTGTGCTTCCACGTCAGATGCAATATTCCTGACATAAGCCATAAAAGAGTGGATAGGGTTTCTGAGTCCGCGTTTTCACAAGGGACTTTGTGTCCCACCCCACCCACTGCGTTCCCACATACAAGGCACCAACTCTACCGCTGTACTGGAGTCCCCAGCATGTCCCTCGTCTTTCCAGCCATGGTCCATGGTGGTTTATGCCCCCTTGTGGAAACAAGGCTTGGCAACACAGATGGCACACAGCGATGCTATCTCTCCTGCCCTCGAAATTCTAAATGCTAGCACTTTGACCCACCCCCGCTGGCTATTTAGTCACATATCTCTTAGCCAGCCTAGTTTCTTGGACATGACAGTAGCTTTTCTGTTTTCAACCGCACCTGTAAATCACCCCTTGTGATACATACAGTGTGGGTAACTAGCCAGAGTAGTCGGATCTGAAACTATAGCACGTGTGAAAAAGGCCACGGGTACATCCTGCCAGTCCCTGGTTCCCGTCTCACGTGCGTGAAGATGCGCTTCTAGAGAGTGCTCAAGCTGACCCCCTTACTGTGCCATTTGTTACAGGTTGCTCGGGCAACATGTGCAGAGCACGCCATTGGCTGCACGGGTTCAACCGAAAAAGATCCTCCCACCTCACTGCGTCATGCACACCTTTTCCTTCCTCAATCTCCTCCCTCCTGCAACATTATTGTCCCCTCCAACAGATATTTTTCTCACCATAACTGCTCGCACCCTGTTCAACCCTACTAAAACGTATTTCATTGCTTTGTATCCCATGATCCATACCACTGCCGTCACCCCATGTCATGCTTCATCAACATGGCCAGCCATCACATCTCCCTGACCAGCTGCAACTCAGCTGTTTCCATGATTGAATCTGCTACGTTTCTTGCTTCATCATTCACTTCGCCTGACCAGACCAGCTCAGTTGCAGCCGTAGGATTCGTCATGCAGTGAGCGATTCACCGTCGATTTTTCATAACATATTGTTCTCCCTTCCGCTTCCACTCCACACTCACTGGTCTTCACTTCCACTGGAAAGCACAGACCCTCACCTTATCAGCATCCCTGGTCAATCGTTCACAGCTCTTTTCGCCATCTTGGCGAGCCTTCTTCCATCGTTCAGAAGAGCCTCACCTTATCTACACTCCACCCGCTCGTCCTGATCAGCCGTTCTGGTCCGCGGGAATTCGACTCTTGTATTTTGACGCAGTGTCGCATCGGCGACCAAATTTGACCTAACTTGTCACGCCGGAGCTCCTGATTCGTGATTCGTAATTTCACATATCGTCCTAATCAATGGCGTCGCTTCTCGCAGCGGCCCTGCCGTCTCTGCAGTGCATGTCCAGCACGCGAGTCTCCTCCGCTGACGCATTCCAATCGCACGGCCCCACGGTCCTCTCTTCTGCCGCACTCGGCCTAACGTCGGGTTCAGGCTCGGGGGCCAGCGCCGCACTAGCTGCAGCTTCGGCATCAGGCTCAGGAGCAGGTTCGGTGAAGCTGATTTCCGTGGTCGGCGAGGCTGGTAACCTGGTTTCGCAGGGAATCGCGTGTGCGCATGGCGACGGGAGGGGCGGGAAGCGCGCCAAGTACATGGAGAAGCATCAAGCGGAGAAGCATTTCGCGGAGAAGCATCACCCGGGCGGGATCAGCTTCCAGGTGCGGTTCAGACCTTCAAGGTTCGGCACGGCAGCTTCAGGTTCGGTACAACAGATGACAGGCTCGGCAAATTAGCTCGCATGCGCGCATACAAAGGAAACATCAGTGCTACCTCGAAGCTGGTGCAGCATCCAAGAACGTAGGTACCGAGCAGAATGCCCTTTCTCCTGCCGCCAGTGGCCGAGCACATTGCCATTTACCGAGCCTGTTCTGCAGTTCTGGTGGCAGCACGAGGCGGGTAGGCGGGAATGCAAGGGTCCGTCGGGCTGTCGTGACGCGATCGGACGTGTGATCACGCGGACAGGGGTGAAGCACGCCTGGATCCGCATTTTCTGGAGCATCCGTGCGCCATGGCGTAGCCGCCCGCGCCATGGCTCCACACACAGAGCATGATACACAAAGGAAGCTCATTCCCAGCCACTCATACCGCCGTCGCTTCCATTGTACAGTCGCGTTCCACCCCCCATCGTCCGCTTCACATCCTTGTCTCATTGGTCTGAGGGTCATCCCAAACCCAGTGTGTGGCCATTTCCGTTCTCAACCCCTCTCCTCCGATCTACATACACATTTCCCCAGCTCGCATGTAACGCCTGTCTGCTTTCCATCGCAATCGTTCTCTCCCCACGCCTCGTCCCGTTCTCCCCGGAGTGGATCGTTGTTCGACCGTCACCATTCATTTCTCTGCAACACTCCTCCGCCACGCGTTCCCCTTCAACTCCCCTTCCGCTCAGATGGATTCCGCCGTTGCCCCTTCCGCCCCGCCTACGCCCATGGCGCCTCCGCCTGACCGCATCTCCGCCAAACACGCCACGAAGCCCGCCGCGCCTGGCGGTGGTTCGGCGCATGTTTCTCTCGATCGCGCCACCGCGCCGCATGCTTCAACGCCGGGGGAACTGGCGGCTGCGACGCTTGCGGACTGTCACCCCCCGTACAGTCACATCCCGCATTGTCACAATCAAGGCAGCGGGGAGGATCAGCTGCCCCCGTTAGTGTCACGCGAGGCTGTCGCGGAGGCGAGCCCGCTCGGGCTGACGCTTCGCAAGACGCCGTCGCTGATGGAGTTCATTTCGCACAGGCTGTCGCAGGGCGCTGGCGACGCTGGCCACGACGGCGCGGGCGACGGTTCTGACGACATGGATATGACAGAAGAGGCGCGGACGGGCGTACCTAGCGGCGGAGAGGGCGGAGAACCTGCGGGGCCGGCGCATACGATGTGCGGAGGCGACGCGCAGCGGACGTCACGCGGGATGGGCGGAGGGGGAATGAACAGTAGCAGCAGCAGTAGCAGCAGCGAGGCGGAACTGGGTGGCGGGGGGATGGCGCAGGGCAGCAGCGCGCGGGGGAATGGAAGCCGCGCGCGGGACGAGCCTGTCCGCCCCGGTAGCGCTCCCGCGCACCAGCAGGCGCAGGAGCAGGGGCGCGCGCAGGGCAAGGGGATACCAGCGCTAGTGGCGTTCGGCGGAGGCGCAACCGCGTCGGACGGGGGTTTCGCGTCCCCCGATGGCGCGCTAATGGCGGAAGGCGCGCTCGCGTCGTTTAGCTCGCCGTTCCCGGCGCTGCCGGCGCAACCGGCGGACAAGCTGAAGGCATCCAACTTCCCCGCCACGCGCATGACCATCGGCACCTGGGAGGTGCGCGCGGGGATGGGGGGTAGTGTAGCGCGGATGTTGCGCGGATTTTGCGCGGATGTAGCGGGCATGAGGGGCATGGAGGCAGGAATGTGTGACGGAAGGCGGCATGCCGTGAGTGCGCGAGCATTCCGCGCGTGGTGCCGTTCAATGCGGTCTCGAATCTGCGCCCCCCTTGTATTCCTAAACCCGCTCTAAACCCTCGTCGGTGGATGCCTTCTCCTCATCTTCGCGTGCCCATGCTCCTCCCCCAAAGCACATCCTTCATCTCTCTGCTCTTCGCCCCTCACTCGATCCCTCCCACTCCTCCCGCTCCTCCCGCTGCCCTTGCGGCCGCCTCCGTACTTTGTTCCTCTGCTTCAGCAGGTTCTTGGTGTCCCGTCTTCTACTAGTGTTCCTCCTCCCTTCCTGTGTCCACCGCCTGACCAGTCGCAGCCGCCACTCCAACGAGCCTTCCCACTGCGTGTTCCCTCTCCTTACACTGAGCAGTCCGGAGGTCTTACAGAGCGTCGTGAGCCTGCGTCTCGTCCTGTCTCGCCTGTTCGCACTGCTCATCGCACTCCTCGTTTGCGTCCTCCTCCTGTCCCAGGCACGCACACTATGGCACTCCGTCCTTCCTCTATTCCACTGTGTGTTCCTCTGCTTGCTCCTCCTGAGTCCTCTCTTCCTGAGGTCCCTGACCCTAAGTCTGACCGAGCGCGTGCTGCCAGTCCCACTGTTGCTCGTCTCCTTGCCACTGCTGTCACTGACCTGTCCTTTGAGTCTGCTGCTGCGTCTGCTCTTGTTGCTGAGCTGCTTGACTTTGCTGCTGCCTGCCGTCTCGACTACGCCTCTGCTCTAGTTGCTGAGTCCGTGCCTGCCAGTCCTCCGTCCGTCGGGGGTGAGTGTGCTCTTGGCACGGACGTCCTTGAGGGCAGGCAGGAGGACTTTGAATGTCTTGCAGCTGGTGTACCTCGTTTGGCTTCCATGCTGCTTGCCCCTGAGGGAGTTCCGGATGCTCCAGACATCCCGACCCCGCGCTCTTTCGCAGAGGCGATTGCTGGTCCTTACTCCTCTCAGTGGCAGGCAGCTATGGATGCCGAGATGGCATCCTGGAAGTCTACAGGCACCTACGTCGACGAGGTTCCCCCACTTGGGGCGAACATAGTCAACGGCATGTGGATTTTCAGGGTGAAGCGGCCGCCGGGTTCTCCACCTGCCTTCTTGGCGCGTTACGTTGCTCGAGGCTTCAGCCAGCGACATGGAGTTGACTACTTCCAGACCTTCTCTCCCACCCCGAAGATGACTACTCTTCGGGTGTTGCTGCACGTAGCTGCTCAGCATGACTAGGAGTTACACTCCCTGGACTTCAGTACAGCCTTCCTGCAGGGCAGCTTGCACGAGGAGATCTGGCTCCGCCGACCACCTGGGTTCACTGGGACGTTTCCTGCAGGTACTCAGTGGAGCCTCCGCCGGCCACTCTATGGTCTCCGCCAGGCGCCTCGCGAGTGGCACGACACACTGAGGACTACACTTGCGGCTCTTGGGTTTGCTCCTTCTACTTTAGACCCGTCGCCGTTTCTACGCACCGACACCTCGCTGCCGCCGTTCTACGTCCTAGTGTACGTCGACGACCTCGTCTTTGCCACGGCTGACACTGAGGCACTGACCCTTGTGAAGTCCGAACTGCAGAAGAGACATACCTACACTGATCTGGGTGAACTGCGCAGCTATCTTGGCCTGCAGATCACCCGGGACAGAGCACGGCGCACCTTCACACTGACTTAGTCACACATGGTGCACCAGGTCCTTCAGCGCTTCGGCTTCCAGTACTCCTCGCCACAGCTCACTCCTTTGTCTATCAGCCACTCGCTCTCAGCTCCACCTTCGGACGAGTCCGTAGAGCCGAGTGGTCCGTACCTAGAGCTTGTGGGTTGCCTCATGTACATGATGACTTGCACACGACCTGACCTCGCGTACCCTCTCAGCCTTCTGGCTCGCTACGTGGCTCCCGGCAGGCACCGAAAGGTGCACTGGGATGCTGCGAAGAGGGTACTACGTTACTTGTCCAGTACGTTGGGCATGGGGCATGTGCTTGGAGGACGGGGTCCAGTTGTCCTCACTGGTCACGTAGACGCCTCCTGGGTTGACGACTCAGCTACGCAGAGGTCGTCACAGGGTTACACCTTCAGCCTTGGGTCCGGCTCGGTTTCTTGGCGGTCTACCCGCTCGTCTTCAGTTCTTAGCTCCAGTTGTGAGGCTGAGATCTACGCCGGAGCCATGGCTGCTCAGGAGCTACGCTGGCTCACCTACTTGCTGATCGACTTGGGAGAGCAGCCCCCCTGACGCATCTGGGTGGCAGTTTTACCACCCTACCTCGCGTCGTGTTTTGTCCTCTCAGGACGTCACGTTTGATGAGTCGGTCTCCTACTACCGTCTCTTTCCCTACCGCACTGCCTCCCCCCCCCCTCGCCCCTCTTCCTAGCACCAAGTGCTCCTCCGGTAGACCCCCTCCCCCCTCAGGGTCCTGCCCCCTCAGGTGTGTCCCAGGTAGACCCTGTCGAGCCTGTCGAGGTAGCTGTCGACTCTGGTGCTGCTAGGGGTGCTGAGCCTGCGGGTGCGGGGCCTGGGGGTGCTGTGCATGGGTTTGCTTAGTCTGAGGGTGCGAAGCCTGGGGGTGCTGAGCCTGAGCGTGTGGAGCCTGGGGGTGCTGAGCCTAGGGGTGCTGAGTCTGGGGGTGCTGAGCCTGGGGGTGCTGAGCCTGAGCGTGCTGAGTCTGGAGGTCCTCCAGGTGTCCCGTCACGGCGGGAGCCCCTCTCTCTGCAGCGGCTCCGTGAGTGGTACGCTCGGCGCTGTCGCCGTGCTGCTGGAGCTAAGGGGCCTGCTGCTGGAGGTGCTTTTGGAGCTGGAGCTGCTGGAGGTGCTGTTGGCGCTGGAGCTGCTGGAGCCGCTGGTCTTGGAGGTGCTGGTGCTGGAGGTACTGGCGCTGTTGGAGGTCCTACTGGTGTTGGAGCTGCTGGAGGTGCTGGAGCAGCTGGTCCCGCAGGTGCTCGTACTGGAGGTACTGGAGCTGCTGGGGCTGGTGGTGCTGCAGGAGTTGGAGCTGTAGGTGCTGGGGCTGTTGCTACTAGAGGTGCTGCTGGAGCTTGAGCTGCTGGAGGTACTGGAGCTGGTGGTGCTGCGGGAGTTGTAGCTGGAGACCCTGGAGCTGAGGGTATTGGTGCTGTGTCTGCTGTTACTGGAGGCGCTGCGCGGCCGAGGCCGTACTACGTTCCGCTTCTTGAGCAGGTTCTTGGTCTCCCGCCTTCTACTGGTCCTACTCCTCCCTTACTGAGTCCACCGCCTGTCCAGTCACAGTCGCAGTTACAGCCAGCCTCTCCACTGCCTGGTCCTTCTCCTTACTCTGGACCGACTAGAGGTCTTACGGAGCGTCGTGAGCCTGAGTCTCGTCTTGCGTCGCCTGAGTCTCGTCCTGCATCACCTGAGTCTCGTCCTGAGTCGCATGTTCGCGCTGTTTGCACTGGTCGTCGTGTTCCGCGTCAGCGTCCTCCTCTTGTCCCCGACACTCACTCTATGACTCTGCGTCCTTCCACTGCTCCACAGCGTGTCCCTCTGCCGTCTCCTCCTGCGTCCTCTCTTCCTGACGGTCCGGACCCGGAGTCTGACTCCCTTCGTGCTGCTAGTCCTACTATCACGCGTTTTCTGGCCACTGCTGTCACCGACCCTTTGTTTGAGTCCACTGCTGCGTCTGCTCTAGTTGCTGAGCTTGTTGACTTTGCTGCCGCCTGTCGTCTAGACTATGCCGCTAGTCTTGTTGCTGAGGCTGAGTCTACGTCTGTCTGTCCTCCGTCCGTCGGGGGTGAGTGTGCTCTTGGAACGGACGTCCTCGAGGACAGACAGGAGGACCTTGAGTGCTTTGCCGCTGCTTTACCTCATCTCGTGTCCATGCTGCTTGCCCCTGAGGGAGACCCAGATGCACCAGACATCCCGACCCCGCGCTCTTACGCAGAGGTGATAGATGGTCCCTACTCCTCTCAGTGGCAGACAGCCATGGACACAGAGATGGCTTCCTGGAAGTCCACAGGCACCTACGTCGACGAGGTTCCCCCGCCTGGGGCGAACATCGTCAGTGGCATGTGGATTTTCAGGGTGAAGCGGCCGCCGGGTTCTCCGCCTGTCTTCAAGGCGCGTTACGTTGCACGAGGCTTCAGTCAGCGACAGGGAGTTGACTTCTTCCAGACCTTCTCCCCTACCCCGAAGATGACCACTCTTCGGGTGCTACTGCACGTCGTCGCTCAGCGTGACTACGAGCTACACTCTCTTGACTTCAGCACAGCCTTCCTACAGGGCAGCCTGCACGAGGAGATCTGGCTGCAAAGCCCACCTGACTTCACTGGGTCGTTTCCAGCTGGTACCCAGTGGAGCCTCCGGCGGCCAGTCTACGGTCTCTGCCAGGCACCCCGTGAGTGGCACGACACACTCAGGACGACTCTTGTTGCTCTTGGGTTTGCTCCTTCCATTGCTGACCCGTCGCTGTTTCTTCGCACTGACACCACTCTGCTGCCGTTCTACGTTCTCGTGTACGTAGACGACTTAGTCTTTGCTACTGCTCACACTGAGGCACTCGCCCACGTGAAGTCGGAGCTGCAGAAGAGACACACGTGCACAGACCTGGGTGAGCTGACAAGCTATCTTGGCTTGCGGATCACCCGGGATAGAGCACAGTGCACCATTACCTTGACTCAGTCAGACATGGTGCAGCAGGTCCTTCAGCGATTCGGCTTCACGTACTCCTCGCCACAGTCCACTCCTCTGCCTACCGGTCACTCGCTCTCAGCTCCACCTTCGGACAAGTCCGTAGAGCCGAGTGGCCTGTATCCAGAGCTTGTGGGCTGCCTCATGTACCTGATGACGTGCACTCGACCTGACCTTGCCTACCCTCTTAGCATTCTAGCACGCTATGTCGCTCCTGGCAGACACAGGAAGGAGCACATGGATGCAGCTAAGAGGGTGTTGCGCTACTTGTGCAGTACGTCGGGCATGGGGCTCGTGCTTGGAGGACGGGCTCGAGTTGTCCTCACTGGTCACGCAGACGCTTCCTGGGTTGACGACTTGGCTACGCAGCGGTCGTCACAGTGTTACACCTTCAGCCTTGGCTCCGGCTCTGTCTCTTGGCGGTCTACCCGCTCGTCTTCTGTTCTCAGCTCCAGTTGTGAGGC